GAGGATTTGGGTAAGCTGGGCCGCTCCAGAGGCGGTCCTGCAGCCAGGCTTGGTGTGGGGCCGTGCCTTCAGCGCCTGGGGGGAGCCTTGTCCTTCCTCTCCCCCAGGGCCAGGTGGGGATGCTCTAAGGGGGCAGCGATGGGGGCAGCAATGGGGCCACGCTCCCTGCAGTGCCTCCCCCATCCCAGGGGGCTGATGGGGTGGTCGAGCAAGAACTTGGCCAAAAATGGAGCGAACTTGAGAGCAGGAAATGGGCTGTGGCAGCGCTGCAATCCCGGGACTGCAGCGCAACTTCTGGGGGTGCTGGGAGCCGGCCCTGGCCTGGGGCGGGGAACTAGCTGTGCCATGGTGGGGGGGAGGGGCGTTCCCTGTTTCCTGATGTGAGGGATGGCCGAGGTGGTGAGACAGAATTGGGAAGAATGAGCTCTCGGCCCTTCCTGGGGGAAGCAGCGCTCCGGATGCATGGAACCCACCGAGGCGGAGCCCTCCCCTTCCAGGGCTCGTGCTGGACGAAGTGAAGGGCTGGCGGATGTTCCTTGGCAGGCCAGGGATGGTGTGCAGGGGCAGGACCCTTTGCCAGCAGTGCCCATGCTCCAGGAAGGCTGCAGGAAGTGGCGGGCACATCCTGCACTGGGGATGGGGATCTGGGTGCCTTCGGGGCGCTGGCACCTGCCCGGCAGAACCTGCTGGGATGCTCCTTTTGTTCTTGGGATTTTGGAAGTGGTACAAGACCTCCCAAGGGGGTGGCAGCAGGGTGGGCAGCTAAGGGGGGGTCTCTCTGTACAGATGCTTTGCTGGCAGAACTGGAGCAGAGCTCCCTCCAGGCCTCCAAGGACCCTGTGTGGCAGGGACCGAGCTCCTGCCAGGATCCACCTGCCCCCTGTGGCTCTGAGCCTTCTGCCTCGGCAGCCCCAAAGGTACAGAGGCCTCAGCACAGACCCCCTCAGCTTGTGATGGAGCTGCCAGGGGAGCTTGGCTGCAAGGGTTTGTCCTCCTAGGTGCAGCTGCTGCCTCAGGCTCAGTCTCTGGGAAAGGATTTGGAGACAGTGTACAGGTAAAAATGGCCAGAGGAGGGCAAAGCCATCTGGGGGTGCCCACTCATTGCTGGGATGTGCCACCTGGGGTCACCTCAATGCCCGAAAAATAGGTCCTTCTGCAAGGTGGGGCAGGTTGTGTCCTGCATCCCTGCTGGGATGAGGCCTGGGCTACGTGTTCCCTGCAGTGGTCTCTAGGAAAGGGCTGTGTTGGTGGGGCTGGAGGGGTCTCAGTCCTGGAAGAAGTGGAAACCTCAGCACCACCCCCCCTGTGCCGTGTCCAGCAGCCCCACCCCGGTCCCACAGCCCCCACCCACGGCGGCCGCCCAGCAGCTGGATGAGCTCCTGGCCGACCTGGGCCACATGCAGAGCAAGGTGAGCTCGGCCCTGGGGAAAGGGGGTTGGGGGCCTGACCTTCACCCAGCCCTCACCGTCCTGCTCCCCGGCAGCTGTCGGGGCAGGGAGCCGGGGTGCCCACGGAGCCCTCCCTGGATAACATGCTGGGCAGCCTGACCCGGGACCTGCAGGAGCTGGGCATCACGGCCGCCCCCGCGGGGGTCTGCGCTGGCTGCCGCAAGCCCATCGCCGGCAAGGTGAGCCCTCCGCCGCCGCCCCGGCACCCCCCTCCCCTCAGCATCCCCCCGGAGCCGCCCTCAGCCTCCCCCCCACCTCCTCACAGGTGCTCACAGCCCTGGGCAAAACCTGGCACCCTGAGCACTTCACCTGTGCCCGCTGCGGGCAGGGGCTGGACAGCCAGCCCTTCTTCGAGCAGGGCGGGCGGGCGTTCTGCGAGGAGGACTATCACCAGGCCTTCTCCCCCCGCTGCGCCTACTGCGCCGGCACCATCCGCGAGGTAAATCCCCCCCTGTGTTCCCACACCACCCCCCGCCACCACCGGCCGCCTCACCTCACCCCTTCCTGCAGAAAGTCCTCACGGCCTTGGACCAGACCTGGCACCCCGAGCATTTCTTCTGCGCCCACTGTGGGAAGGTCTTCGGGGACGAGGGTATGTCCCAGGGGACAGGTGTGGCAGGCCTGCCCCTGCCCCAGCTAGCCCCTGCCCTTGCACCTACCGCTCTGACATCCCTCCATGGTCTTTGCCTTGCCTCCTACCCTGGGCAAGGGTGCCCATCCTGATCCCCTCTTTGCAGGGTTCCTGGAGCGGAACGGGAAGCCCTACTGCCGCCAGGACTTCCTGGCCATGTTCACCCCCAAATGCCAGGGCTGCGAGCGCCCGGTCACGGACAATTACCTGTCGGCCCTGCAGGGCGTGTGGCACCCCGAGTGCTTCGTGTGCACGGTGAGTGGGCGGTGGGGTGGCAGGGCCGTGCCCGTTCCTGGGGGCCATGCCAGCCTTTCCCGGTCTCCTTCCCCCCAGGAATGCCTGAGCGGCTTCTCAGGCGGCTCCTTCTTTGAGCTGGAGGGTCGGCCCTACTGCGAGCTGCACTTCCACCTGCGGCAGGGCACCATCTGCCACGGCTGCGGCCACCCCGTCACCGGGCGCTGCATCACGGCCGCGGGGCGCAAGTACCACCCCGAGCACTTCGTCTGCACCTACTGCCTGGGCCGGCTGCAGAAAGGCACCTTCCGCGAGTGGGGAGACAAGATGTACTGCCAGGCCTGCCACGACAAGCTCTTCCTCTGACCCCCCCAGCCTGGCTGCCCCCAAACTCCTCCTCTGATCCCCAGCCTGCATGTTCCCAAACAAACTCTTCCTCTGACCCCCAGCCTGGGGGCCTTTAAACTCCTCCTCTGACCCCCAGCTTGGTGTCCCCAAACTCCTCCTCTGATCCCCAGCCTGAGTGCCCCCAAACTCCTCCTCTGACCTCCAGCCTGGGTGTTCCCAAACAAACTCCTCCTCTAACCCCCAGCCTGTGTGTCCCCAGCATGGTCCCTAACTTGTCCCTGCTGAGCCCAACATGCCTCCTATTGTCCCACCCATCCAACTCTCCCCAGCCTTGGTGGTGCCAGACATCCCAGGCACCATTCCTTGCCAGCATTCCCACAAGGCATTCCTGGCATCGTCCCTGCCAAGCCGCACATCCCGGGCATTGCCCCCTGGACCTGAAGCAATAAAACACCCGGTCCTGCCTTTGCTCTGCTCACTGGTGGCTTTGGGGACAAAGGTGCAAGGCAGGGTGGGGGGGCTGGGAAGTGTCACCCTCAGATAAGAAAGGGTTTGTCACACAGCAGCACCTTTGGGAGTCCTGGAAAAGGCCCTTGGTCCCAACAGCAAAGCCAGAAACACCCAAGAGTGCAGCCAGGGGGGGCAGGCACACCGACACACTTTAAAAACTTTATTTATATAAAAAAATCATTTTGTTTTCAAAGCGTTACAAGAGTGTGCACAGGAATCAGACAAGGAACGGCTTGGTGCTTCCCCCTCCTCCCCTCCTTAGCCCCCCTCCCCAGCGGGGCCGAGGAGGAGAGGAGGGGGATGCTGTCTTTTTGGTTCATTTAGAATTAAAAATTAAAAAAGGAATTAGTGTTTTACATATTTAAAGGAAAAGAGAAGAGTTAGACCCCAGAACAAAACCCAACCGAGCTGAGGTGGGGCTGGAAGCAGGGAGGGCCCAGCTGGTGCTGGGGGGGGGATCTGGGGCAGGAGCAAGGCACCAGCTCTGCCCCTGCCACCTCCCCACATCCCTCCTGGGGGGAGCCCTGGGCTGGGAGGGCTCCTGCTCCAGTTTGCAGCCTCCTACAGAGACTTCCAGTTGCACAGGGAGCAGCAGGGCCCCCCAGAAGATCACAGCACGTCAATGTGCCCCAGCACCACAGCCAAGAGGAGGAGGAGGAGCACATCCCAGCTCCCGTGGCAGCCCAGGCTCCCCAGGCCTGGATGGCAATGCCCTGAACCCTCTCAGCGAGGGCAGGGGGGGCTGGGTTCCCCCCAGAAACAGGCTCCCAGCCCCACTGCAGACAGGGAAGGCTCCCAGTGGGGAAGTGAGGAGTTCAGCCCTGCTGGAAGCCCAGGAAACTCCCCTTCCCCAGGGAAGCAGCCAGACAGTACGATTCAAACAGCTATTTCACAGTGGCAAAAGAAAGGCACGTGTCAAGAGAAAGTCGGGGGGGGCAGCGCCGTGGGGGTCCTGGCTCCAGCCGCCCGGCACGGCACACCCCAAGCCCTCTCCCCAAATTCCCACCAAATCTCCCTCCGCAGGGACCCCTCGCCTCCGCCCCAGGAGGCCTGTCCCTCGCCCCAGCACTGACCCTCTTCCCCACATAAGGATCCTCCTCACACAGGCACCGGGTGGGAGCCGGGGCCCCCCATCCAGACCCCTCCGCAGGATCCAGAGCCACATCCCCCTTCCCACGCCCCCAAAGCCTCATCTAGAGCAAAGCAAGAAAAGTTATTGCTGGCTGTCCTTCCTCTCGCCCTCCCCCCCAACGGCTCCAGCCCCTGGACCCTGGTCCTGCAGCCCCCAGGGAGGAGGGATGTCTGTGCTGTCCCTGGTTGAAGAGTGATCCCGCACAAAAAAAAAAAAATACATCCTATAGGCAACGAAACCAAACCAAAAACAAGGCGGCGGCAAGTGAGGTCCCAGTCCCTGTCCCTGCGGACGCCTTGCAGCAGGGGGAAGGCGTGGGAGAGAAGGCAGCTCCTGGTCAAGGCAGAGATCCGAGTCCTTGTGCAGCATCCACGCCGGCTGATCCGGCAGAGTCAGGCAGGAAGAGGTTTTACCCCTCAGGAGGAAGGAGGTGGTGGTGGAGGACGGGAGGAGGAGCTCTCAGTCGTAGTGGTGTCCCAGGACGGGGAGGTGCAGAGTGGCCCCAGGCTGCCCTGGGGAGCCGGCCCAGGCCTTTGGCTGGATGGTTGGCACAAGGAGTCCAGCAAAAATTCCAACAGTAAGACAAGGTAAAAGTCGGTCCATTCCACCATGAAGAGTTATATATTTATATATATAATATATTATCAACCCAAATGGAGCAGAGGTGGGCAGGCCAGCTAGATCTTCTGCTGTGGAGAGAGAGGGAGAGGCGTTAGCAGGGCTGGGGCAGGAGCAGGCGGCGGAGGCGGCACCACAACAGCAGCGATCGATCGGAGCAGGATTTGGCTGGCCAAGCACCCCTAACAGCACAGCAGGATCTGTCACCACTGTCAGATTGGGCAGGACACCGCGGGACATACCGACACGGGGGAAAGCACAGCAGCTTCTTCCTCCGCCTCCTCTACCTCAGGCTGGGGCTCCTGCCCCTCCTCCTCCTGCTGCAGACACACGGGGGTTAGTAGGGACGAGGGGGTGGGGGGTGTTAGTTGTGGGAGCCCAGCTCTCCCCTCCTCCTGCCAGCCAGGACAGTGATATGGCATCTCCTGCACCCCTCCCTCGTCAGGGACAGCTGCTCACCATCAGCGGCGTTGCCTTCACCGGCTCCATCTCTCCCAGGTCACCGGATCGCTCCAGTGTCCTGCTGTGGTCCCTCTCGTTGAGTGTGGAATAGTTGTCTGGAGCAGGAGAGGGGACAGTCAGCTGTGTCACCTCCAGGGAGGGCTGCCCCATCCCCACAGCAGATGTGAGCTCTGCCCCCCTCCCTGCACACTGAGGGGGCGAGAGGCCCCCCATTCCAGTCCCTCTCCTACCTGGTCCCATGTTGCTCATCTGGATCTCCTCCCGGGAGGATTTCTTATCTACAAGCACGAGAGAGCAGGTCAGGGACAGTTCCTGAGCCGTGGAGGAACTGCCACCAGCCCCAGCTGGGGGAGCCCAGGTGCAGCTGCAGCCACAGCTCTGTGACTCAAGGACACTACAGGCCCTACCAGTGACAACCCCAAGAAGCCACCTAAAGCCCAAACTGAGGGCCCTGATGGCCAGGAAAGCCAGCTAAGGCCCAAACTGATGGTGATGGCCCTGTGTGAGCAGCTGTGGCTGCCAGGGAAGCCTGGGCTGAGAGCAAGGAGGGGACAAAGGCCAGCTGCCCTGGGTACCCACACGGTGGGGGGATGATGGTGGGCACAGGTGCTGAAGGCAGGCACGCACCTGTTTTTTGGTTCCTGTCGATGAGAGGCAAGGTGCTGTCATCAAATGAGTTGCCTCCCTGGGTCCGAGAGGCGTTGCTCAGGTTCACCTATAGCAACAGACAGTGATCAGTCACACCCTGGGCCCAGATGTTCCTTCCCCACTGGCACATCCCACCCCTCCAGTGCCGGGATGGACCCAGGAGCTCTCCCACAACCCTTGAGCAAGGGGCTCAAAGTAACCAAAGGGTGCTCGAGCCCCCACCACATCCCCATTAGACCAAGGGAGCCCTGCCTGGACTGGGGCAGTGCCCAGCGCTCCAGGAAAATGGATAGTCCCTGCTTTCGGGAAAGAAACTGAGCCTAGAAGAACCCTGTTCTTCAGCACTGCCATGACAGCGTTTAGGGTGACAAAATTCCTGCCTGTGGAGCCACATGCTGGTGTGGGACACAGGGTGTGACACTTCAGAGTGTCCTTAGCAGAGCCTTCCTGCTGGCCATCGCCTGAGGAGCGGGACATTCCCCTGAGGCACAGGGGACACCTCTGCGGGTGCCCAGTCCCACCAGCAAGGCCAAGGGCTGCAAACTGGTCCTGCTGAGCTCCAGGAACACCCTTCTCCCTGCTGCAGGACCCTACTGACTACCCCAGCCACCACAGGGCACCCCCACACCTGGAAATCTGACTTCTTCCAGCCTTCCTTCTCGAGGGGCTTCCGCAGCTCCTTGTAGCCCCAGACTGTCTGCAAGACGAGGGCGGCTGCTCGGACTTCTCTCTCTGAGCGGTTCCTGGGAAGAGGGGAAGGAAGAGACATTTGGAACAGTCACAGCCCCGGGGAGGCTGCTGGGGAAGCCCCTCTCCACCCCTTGGCATCACCCTTTGAGCAGTGCCTACCCAGATTTGTTGATCAGCACCAGCTTCTCAATCCCCTGCGTTTCCCGCAGCTTCTTGGCGGCCTCGAGGTTGTCCACAATCACCTCGTTGATGGTGTTGAGGATGGACACCACTGTGTCCTCAGAGAGGTTTTTGGCAGGGGTCTGCTGGCCTCCAGGCAGGTTCTTCACTAGGTTGGGGATGGCATGCTTGCCTGGGAACGGGAAAGAGCTGGGCATGAGCAAGAAAGAACAGGACTGCTGGGAAAACCAGCGCGGAAGGTGACAGGCGGCCCATTTGCTCCCTCTCCGCGGAGCTCTCGAGAGGAGCAGCGGGCAGAGGCTGGGCTGATCTGTGCCCACACGCTCCCTCAGCAGGGCAGGACGCTCCTGCCCGGCCCGGGGTGGGTGTGCAGAGCGCGCCGTGCTCACCGATCAGCTCCTTGTTCCGCAGGTCCACGGCCAGGTTGCGCAGGGCGCCGGACGCCGCCTTCACCACGCGCTCGCTGTCGTGGCTCAGCAGGTCGGCGATGGCAGAGAGCCCCTTCTCCTGGCGCAGCGCCGAGCGGATGTACCGGCCGTACTGTGGGGCAGGGACAGCACCCCCGCGTCACCCGGGGCTGGGGACACCACTGCCAGCCCTGCCAACCCCCCTCGCCGCGGGCACGAGGGGCCTGCTGCACCCACAGAGCCCACTCCCACCACAGGGCCCCCCCACGGGACAGGCCAGACTTCCCAGAGGGTCTCTGCGCACACACACCAAGGTAATGCAGGTTATTATCTTCATTCCCTGCCCCCAGGAGGGCACAGGCAGCTGGCAGTGAGCACAGAGCCCTTCACAGCCTGTGCACACCTGGACTGTGCTGTGGGATGGTGGCTCCTGGGGCCACGCAGGAAGGGAACAGCCTGGAATGGCATCCACAGTCCCACTGCCCCCACCACGGGCGGTACCCCCGGGTCCCCGGGCCCCTTCCCTGGACACAGGCAGCTCCAGGGGCACTCACCGTCCAGCTGCCAGCACACAGGTTCTGGATGGCTCCTGCTGAAGCCTCCAGGATGGCCGGAGTCTTGCTCTCCTTCAGCAGGGAGATGTATATCCGCACCACTTCTGGCTGGAAGAGGAGCTCATAGCCTGCCAGGAGAACATGGGTGGGAAGAGCTTAACCCAGGGATCCACCAGCACCTGACTCATCCAAGGCAGCACTGCTGGGTAGACGAGGCTGGAAGCTTCTACCCAGGCTCCCTGGAGGCAGGATACCTGGCACAGAGGGGCTGCCCCAGGGTACCAGATCCGGGATCAGGGACACCACAGCTGCCACCCACAGCACCCAACACACCACTGCAGCTCCAGAGGGAGAAACTTGGGAAGCACCCCAAGCTGTGCCCACCAACACCCCTCACCCTCAGGGACTGAGGGCCCAGGCCCCCAGCACGCAGGCAAGGGTCAGGCCTTCGAGCATCAACTCTTTTCCACGGCAACATGCCCAGGAGTGACTTGTAAAGCAGCATTAAGGCTGCAGTTCGTAGGTGCAAGGCCGGGTTTTCCATCTTGTCCTCCCCTGCCGTGAGGGATGGCCCCAAAGTCGGAGCAGGTGCCTCCTCAGGCTTCTACCAGAGATGGGAGCTGACTCTTCCCACAGCTCAGGTCAGCCTAAGGAGCCACCACTGCCATGTATCTGAGCTGCTCACAAGCTCAGGCCTGCTCTAAGTTTCCTTTGGTTCCTCTGGCTCAACTCTTTGTAGCCCCAGGAGCAGCAGGGTCCTCCTGGGAACCACAGGGTGCTTTAGGGGCAGGAGGAGCTGAACTCAAGCCCTGGGCTAGTGCTCACTGTTTGGCCTGTGATTCACTGGCAGCAGGATGCTTGTCCCCAGAGGTTATTTTGGAATGACCCTTCCTCACGCTCATGCTGGAGAACATTAAAGGGAGAGATTTTGGCTTTAAATCCTGCCTGCTCTTCATACCCAGGAGAGAAGAGTGGGCAAGAGGGCCACTGTGCTGGGAGTCTGAGACCATCACAGAGGGCTGTGTCACTCTGCTGTCCCTCAGCCCCTGGGGCAATAGTTCCCTCTGAAGCCTGTCCTGAGCCAGCACTGACCTCCTCTATGCACGAGCATCCTCCCAACTGCTGGCAGAGCTCGTAGTTTTAACAAGCCTTTGGGCAGCCAGGAACATTCCTGCTCCAAGACCAACCTCTGCCCGTTGGAGAGGCTCGCTGGGGGAAAAGCTGCCCCAACACCCAAGGCCAATCATCCAAGGAACACACCTTTGGCTGGAGTTGTTCTTTTGGGAAAATCCACTGTGTCGGCACCAGGGTCTTCTGGGAGCTTTTTACCTTCAAAGGGCAAGTAGAGAGGCGTGAGATTCCTCTCTCCCCACCCACCTCAGCCCACCAGCTCTTTGCCACTTGCAGGAACAAGCCCAGAGGCTGAAGCCAAGCGACCAGCACGTCCCAGGAGGGGACACTGGGGGCATTAGCCACACTGCAGGCAGAATGTGCCCAGCAGGGGAAGGGGGGGGGAGGACAAAGAGAGCTGGAGAAAGCACCCAATCAAACCATGGAAAAAAGTAAAACCAAGAGCGCACTCACCTCTGGAGAACCACTCGTCTATTGGTGAGAGAAGGACAGGAGAGAGGGGAGGCAGGAGGAGAGAGGTGCCGACAGCATCATGGGGCAGATCATTTGGCAAGAAAGCGAAGGGAAGGGGAAGGGGCAACACAGGAGAAAAGGGAAGGCGTGGAGTTAGTGGACACGTAGCCATCACCATCCCACCACCACAGACACCCAGCACAGCTTGTGCCAAACGCTTTGGGCAAGCCAAGCAGCAGCTCCCAGAGCCAGGGACCACTGCAACTCCAGAGAAAGCTGCAGCTCAGGCTCTACACGAGATGCCCAAGTAGGAGCACAGAGACCCCAGGCCACCCTCCAGACGTGCTGCAGCAGGGCTGTCTCTATCCCCTCCCTCCCTGCTGCTGCTGGCCCACAAACCTTTGCCCTTCTTGGCACCGAAGCAGCTGGCGGCGTGGGGCCCGGCGTTGTTGGCAGGGACCAGGGGAGTCTCCTGGTAGCGCTCAGCGTGGGGGATCTCCCGGTGCACTTGGTAGGACAAGTTTCTCAGCAGGCACACGCAGTTCTCCACCAGCTGGGGGGGGGAACCAGAGTGTCTGACTGGGAGCAGCACCCCAAGTCTCTGAGTGAGGGCTCAGCACCTGGCACCCAGGAGGATGTGCAGCTTCATCCCAGACGGATGAAGCACACCCCACCCCAAAGCTGGCACGACCAGTGCTGCAGGCACGGGCTCATACCCTGTGGGCCAAAAACCTCTCTGCCATAAGCACAAAAGGGCCAAGGAAAATTCAAGCCAGCACCTCATCCAGGTAGATCAAAGAGCCCTGAGCCAGGGGACAGTGGTTTGGGGGTGAGTGACAAGCAGACCCCTGCTGGGGGGCCAACATTCCTATCCCAAACTGCAGGGTGAGTGCCAGACTAGTCCAACAGTGCCACATACACCCCACACAGACTCTCCCTTCCCCGACACCAGCCCCACTGTGGTACCTTGCTGTCCGAGTCCTTCTGGCCGATCTCGGACTGCACGATGTAGATCAGGGCGTCCACCAGCCCGTCACATTCCCGCAGCTTCCGACGGGCCTCGCTCCGCTCCGAGCTCACGTTCCTGGCAGGCAGGAGAGAACCATCATGGCAGGGACAGCTGAGGGCAGGAGAGGGGCAGCCCACACCCCACAGAGCTCAAGAGAGAAAAAGCCTCTTGTAGCTCCCCTCAGTGAGGGAAACTGCTCCAAAATCAAGGTCTGCATCACCAGCAGCCATCTCCACAGAGCTCCAAGAGCTCTGGCAGTCCCAAAAACAGCCAGGAAGGAGTGTTGCAGCCCGGACCCAGGCCGGGGCTCTCCCATACCTAAGGCAGCCAGCAGTGTTGGTGAGCACCGACTCCCACTCGATGTGGCGGGGTTTGGAGTCCTCGTTGGGCTCCCGCTCCCAGCCGGAGCGGGGAATGACCACCTCGTCGGTCAGAGCGTGCAGCGCGTGATCCACGATGGCCATCTTGATGGAGTCGTGCGAGGACAGGTTCCACAGCGTCCCTGCAACGCCGCAAGCGCAAGGTGAGCGCTCGGACCCCGACCACAGACCTCGCCCGTGGCACCACCAGCCCCGTCCCGCCCCGCCCGGAGCCGTCACCTGTGATGACCTCCGTGAGGTCCATGTCGTGGGCCTTCCGCAGCAGGCGCACCAGCGCGGGCACGCCGTCGCAGTTCTTGATGGCGATCTTGTTGTCCTGGTCCTTGCCGAAGGAGATGTTCTTGAGGGCCCCGCAGGCGCCGTAGTGCACCTCCTTCTTGGGGTGGTCCAGCAGCCCCACCAGCACGGGGATGCCCTTGAGCCGGCGCACCTCCGTCTTCACCTTGTCGTTGCGGTAGCACAGGTGCTGCAGGTAGGCGGCCGCGTTGGACTTGACGGCGTCCAGCCGGAAGCTCAGCATGGCGATCACCTCCGGCAGCTCCGGCTGGCGCCAGTTCCCCGGGGCTGGAGCTCCCTTCCGCAGGCTGTCCAGGCTGGCCAGGCTGCCCCGCTCGTGCTGGGCCAGTGGGGCCCAGTAGTACCGGTCCGGGGCCACGTCGTCCACCAGCATGTCTTCATAGCTCCTACGAGAGAGGGCGGCGGGCGTCAGCACATGCCCAGACCTTGCTGGAGCTCCTTGTAAGCTCCTCGCTTATCCCCCCTGACAGCCTTGAAGGATTTGTTCCTGCATCTATTCACGCCAATCCTCTGGAATTAGATCTGTTCCTCAGAATAAGTTCTGCCCCTTCAGACCGTAATTCCTTCTCGTTTCATCAACTAAGCTGTCCAGTTCTCACATTTTCACATTTTCCCAGCTTTTCAACCTACTTTGCAGATTCTGTTTTTACACGTAGGCCCTAAATCAATCATTTTTCCATCAGCTGGTTAGTGGTGGATTTACTTCTGTTTCCCACCAAGTTTTCCATCTTATCTTCTACGGTCAGGGGCAGAAGGAATTGTTCACAGCCAGACCTTCAGGTCTGATCAAGGACGGAAAGAGGAGGAAGAAATTTCCAGCCCTTTTCATCACCTTTTCCTCCAACCCACTAGAAGGGATGAAGCTGGATCCTGGTCTGATGCCTGTGGAAGCAGGAGCCAGCCCCGGGGCACAGGCAGGAGCCAGCCCTGGAGGCAAAGTGTGCTACTGCCTGAGGGACAGGCACCAAGAGACACCTGGGCTCCAGGGATCAACCTTGTGGCTCCTGGCATGGGCCCAGGGAAGAGCCATGGTCCCATACCCCCACTCTGGCCAGGAGCAGCTCCCCCTCAGACTGGCAGTGCTGGGAATGAGCCCCAGCAAGCACATGGAAGCTCAAAGTGCAACTACTGCCCCCCATGCCGAAGTGACACTGAACACCCCATGACACACACCTCACAAAATCCCAGATTCTCCCCTATTTCTGCAGTCACTGCCAATATAATCCTTCCCCCACCCAGGCAGAGGAATCCAGTGATTTCCAACGGAAGGAGATGGGAGGCGACGACTCTCGCCCCTGCTGCGCCAGGGCACTGAGGACACTCAGATAAGACCCAAGGAGAGGTTTCCACCCTCCAGCTCACACCTGCCCCAGGGGCTGTTCAGCATCTTCCTGAGCTCCCAGACCAGGCACAGGCAGGGAAAGGTCTGACATGATGGGTGGCAGGTCCTGCTCCCGCCACCACTTCCCTACCTACAGCCTGTGGTACAGAACTTGCCAAAGCCACCAGACACAGCCACGTGCCAGTGCTGCCAGCAAGCCACTGACACTTGCCAGCATGGCTGGCAGCCGATCCCGCTCCCTTTCCAAGACTAACTCCCTGAATGGAAGCCCCTGTCCCACCGTGAGTGTCTCAGTGCCCCTCCAGGCAAGATGGGGCTGTCAGGGAGGGGAAGCACCCCCCTTCTCTCCTCCCTTGCAGAGAGGGAGCTCTGGGAAGAGCCCCAGGGCAGGGACCTGTGCTCTCTGTGGCCGATGGCAGCCAGCACTCGCTGCATCCCTGGGCTCAGGGCACTCCTTCGGCTCCCGAGTTCCTGGGCAGCTGCCTCCCCGAAGGAAGTCATTAACAGCCAGGCCCCTGCTCAAGACAAACATCTCTGAGGCAGGGGGGACGCTGCTCTCCCTGTTCCCATTCCAGCAAGCTGGGCAGAGAGTGCGGATGGTAACTGAGAAGGTGGGGGACAAGCCAAGCTCAACAGTGCCTGGATTCCACAGATTGCTGTGATCTTTATCTGCCTGCCCAGGGGCCCACCAACCCATCCTTCATACTCTGCACTGCCCCTGCAGGACAAGCTGACATCCCCAACAGGGCTGTCCTTGGAAGTGGAACCTTCTTGCTCTGTTGGACCCAGGTTCCCAAGTCTCCCACCTGACTGCAGCTCCTGCACTTGGCTCCTGTAACTCCCCTCCTCCAGGACCTGGAGGGGCAGGAGCACAGACACCTTTCAGCCCAGCAAAGAGGGCTCATGGTCTCAAAGGCCACACAGGGAGGGGTGGGTGCTGGGTGGGGCACAGCCCAAGGAAGGTTCGCAGGCCAGAGCCTCTGTTGAACACACCCGTGTAACCCCTCCTGCCCAAGGTCCTCACTGAGGGACGTGACGGCCATGTGCCCAAAACTGCCAGAGCTGGCCTCTCCCAGGCTGCCCGAGAAGGCAGAAGCCTGGAGCAGCCCTGCCTGCCCTCCTCCAGCCGGCACAAGCTGCACAAAGCGAGGCAGCCGGGGAAACCCATCTGGGTGAGCAACCGCCCCGACTGGTTCGGCGCAGCCCCGCAGCACTTGTGCTGGCACCAGCCACAAGGACAGACAAAGCTGCTCCTTCAGCAGCCAGGAGCCGCCGTGGATTCACAGTGCCCAGCTCGGGCAGATCTCCACAGGGGATGGCCAGAGCCTCCTCTCCCCCAGGTTGCCTCGTTTATGTCCCAGGAGCCTGCGCTGAGCCTTACTTGCCTGGCTGGGCCCACCCTGGGGCACTCAGGAGGTGTGCATCCATCCCAGCTTGCCGAGATCATCCCCTCCCCATCTCCAGGAGCCTGGCTCAGCCCCTTGCTCCATTCCTACCTCCCCACCCCTGGAGCCATCCCACAGCGCCTGCCCAAACCCTGCCTGACAGCCCGGCCGGGAGCAGAGAAGGGAGCAGCGCTTGTGTAGGAGACAGCTCACACAGGAGACCAGTGGAGAGGAGTCACGGCCTCGGGCAGGTGACATTCCCGGGTGCCTGGCAGGGTCGGAAGGACCACCAGGACCCTGCTCCAGCCCCCAAGGGCAGCACAGCACAGCAGGGCAGGTGCTCTGCAGCCAGGCTGGGGGAGCCACCATCGCCACAGACACACACGAGGGGAGAAACTGCTGCTGCTGCCAAACAGGTTGAGCAGCTTCTCCCGCCCTGCCCTGCAGCAGGGTCGGGCTGTGCAGGAACCAGGAACGCTCCTGGGGCACCGTGGGGCTGAGCCCTGCTTCACCCCAGCCTGGGCTCAGCTCCCCTCCCTGAGGCTGCCCTTGGCTCGGGGAGAGCAGGATCACAGGGCTGCTGCAACCTGCACAGCAGGGTGATGATACAGTGGGATACTCCGGGCTGGAGTGCAGACAGACCAGCCAGGTGGCACAGAGGGAAGGGCCCGGAGCTACATCCAGCTGCCCAGTGGAACTCCTCGCTGCGGGACGACCGGCTCAATTAGCACCCGGGTTTAACCACCAATTAAGCAGACAATTAGAAGCGGATGCAAGTTTTCTCCCGCGTGAGCCGCCTGTGACTCAGCTCATGGTGCTGTGTCCACCACCCTCCCTTCTCCAAGGACCCCCAGCAGCCCAGAGCCTCCTGCTCCACGTACCTGAGCCGCCGCCGAGCATCCGAGGGGGTGCCCGCCCTCCTGGCCGTGCCGTAGTCGGACATGAGCCCGTAGTCCACATCCTCAAAGCCCACGCTGCGCTGGTCGTCCTCCAGGCCGTACGGCTCGGGGTGGAAATGGTTGAGGTCCATGTTGCTGCCCCCGACGCGCACCTGGGGCTGGGGGCCGTAGATGTCCTGGCGGCTGGGGGCGCGGTAGGTGTCCATGGAGGGACGGTAGCGCTCGTCAATGCGGGTGACGCGGGACAGGCTGCCGTAGCTGTGGTCGCTGCCCGGGTAGCCATCCTCGTAGGGGCGGCCGTAGCCGTCGGGGTAGTGGTAGTTGCGAGGGAGGGTGGCCGTGCCCGCCTGGCTCAGGTAGCTGCCGGGGCCCCCGTTGCCGTTCTTGCGGAAGTTCCTGTCCATGGTCTGGACGTAGTTGCTGGTGACGGGGGAGGTTTCCAAAGGGAGCCCATCGGGCCCCACGGGCACCTGCTGCACTGTCCGGGTGGTCACGGTCTTCACCACTTTCTTCACCTGGAGGGGGTGACACGCGTGCAGGACACAGTCCCATAAGGAAACTCGCCGCAGCCCTGCATCCCCGGATTCCCCTGCCACCCCAGCACTTCGCTTCAGGCACGTTTCTCCCGCCGTTTCAGCTCGTGGCACAGCAGGCTGGCAGACACCACGGCTGCAGCGCCCCAGCCATCAGGGTCCCCAACCATGCCCTGTCCCGCCACGCTCTCCCCAGGCCTGTACCGTGGTCTCCGTACGCCGGGTTGTCCCATCATCTGACGTCTCCACAGACACGACTGACATGGCCCCTTCCGGGTCTTCCTCCATGGTGTACGTCTCCTCCACAATCTGGCCCGGGTCCTGCATCCTGGGGATTGTGCTGTACAAGAGGTGGCTGTGGTCCTGAGGGGAGAAAGCGACAGGCAGGGAGGCCCCATCACCAACCTGGACCTCCCTGGAGTCCGCTGGACAAGAGATCTCCCTCCTCACAGGGAGCTCCGATATCCTCTTGGAAGGAGGTACCAGCAACCCCACGCCTGAAGCCCCTTCAAGCCAGGGTGGCCACACTGGAAGCACAAACCGCCCTCTTCCAGTTGGAACAGGGACACTGGAGCCCTGTCCTGCACCCTCCCCCAGCAAGCAGGCTGCCCACAGCCAGAAGGCCAAGCTCCCCTTACCTGTGGCCCGTTCAGCTTCAGATCTGAATACTTCTGCCTTTCCAGGTCAGCATCGCCCAAGAAACGTCCGTTCTGAAACACAGCAGGCCCATTACCAGACTGACCTCCCACATATCCATCCCTGCTTCCCTTCTGGGCTCCAAGCAGCCCATCTCCTGCACCTCACAGACACACCCACCACGTACCCTACAGGAGGGGAACACGCTCCTCGGGGGTCTGTGCCACGTGCAGCAAACCACCCCCATGCCAGCCCAGGGAAGAGTGAGAGAACACGCCACTCAGCTCCCTCCAGACATGCCTCCAGCTCTCCCACGATGCCCATACGCTCCCGACGGAATGGCCATGACACTTCCCTGCTCCCCAGCAGGGCCCTGGACACCTTCCACATGTTCTGATGCAGGAGCCAGCACTGACACCCCAGAGGGAACCACGCGGGCGCTCGGCGGCCGATCACAGGGTGCTGCTGTTTGACACTTGCACTCCTCGTCCTCTGCCCACCCTGCCCTGCCCCGCACGGCTCTCCTGGCACCACCACCTTCCACAGCCGGAAAGACACCTGCCTCCTGCACAACACCACACACCAGCCCTCTGAGCACCCCTCTCCAAGACTGAGCCTGAGAAAGTGAGAACAGGAGACACCTCAAGCCAAGGCAGATGAAACCACATTTCTAGCCCTGTAGGGATGATTTCTCCCAGCCCTAGTTCGGCTGTGTGGGGACAGACCGAGACTCCAGGGCCTCGCCCATCATCACACAGAGGGAGACACACACGTTCCCCTGCAGCAAACCCCAGCCTCTGCATCTCGGCCGCCCTCCAAGCAGCCGAGCGGGATGGGGAGCAGAGATGCCCAGGAACTGAGCACAGCCAACCTCTGACCTTCACAAAACCAGACCAGAGCCCGCCTGGCATCAAAACCCTCCAGGCTGGCTGGCACCTCCTCCCCCGAAGGCTCTGGCTGCCGAGGAAGGTTGGCACACCCCCAGATCGACTCCGGTACACCAGTGTCACAGGACCAGCCGAGCCTTCCTCCACCTCCCGTATCCAGGGAGGGCCAAAGGCAGGACTGACGCGGCCGGGGGCTCCAGGAGCCTCTGCACCCCGCTCTGGCGAGGGGGTGTTTTACCTGGTGCCGCCGGGTGAGCGTGCCGTTGGCCAAGCCCGGGCCAGCGTCCTGTGGGGAGACCCGGACTCGCTCCAGCTGGGCTGAGACATGGCGCCGTTCCTCCTCCAGGGCCCGGGTCAGCTTCTCGAACTGTGCCTCCTGCTCCTTGACAGAGGCAAGGATGCTGGCGGTCGACTCCACTTCCGAGTCGTCCATGGGTGACGGGTGCCCGGGGCAGGCAGGGCGGGGGGCGCGGGGACGCACGAGCGGAGGCGGCTTGGAGTCAAGGTGAGGGGAGGAAAAGTGACCCAGAAGGGGCAGGAGCCCCTCTCTTCACTGCACGTGATTTGGGGGAGGAAAGGAGGAGAGAGAAGAGCGGTCAGAAGAGGCTGATTTAGTTAAGACAGATTCTCAGAACAAGGGAAAAGTAAAAAAAAAATCTTATGGCATTAACACCCACTCCCACCCATCACCAGAGAGCTGGCAAGAGGGTCCTGGAGCAGCACAGCCCCGGGCAGGACTCAGATGCAAAGTGCCCCAGCATTTAAGCTTGGGAAAGTGGCACTGTGGGGACAGAAGGTCCTCCCCAGCACACCAAACAGCTGGGGCTGAGCTGGGTTTGGAAGAGCTGCTGTGGGCTGAGGGGTTCTCTCTTCCCACAAGGGTCCTCCTCAGGCCGCAGGAAAAGCTCAGGGGCAAGGAAAAGCTGCAAGCACAGTGCAGGAGGGGAGGGGAGGGCATATCCCTGGGGCAGGGAAGGGGACACTCCCGGAGAATGAGAAGTGACCCACATCCCACTGCTTCCTTCAGGGAAGGGCGGAGGGAGAGGGCTGTGTCACTTATCTGTTCCCTCCTCCCTGGTGTGATAAATGGTGGGGAGACAGCCCTGGCTCCACAGCTCCTTCCTTACGCAGGAAAGGGGATGAAATGGGACGGGATCCCCCTAAAGGGGACCCCATGAGCCCCCGTGACTGCTGCCAAAACTCACCACCCTCCAGGCTGCAGCCCCCCAAGGGGTCCTGAGCCCACAGACCTAGGGATGGGCATTGGCCTGGACCCCTCCAACACCCCCTCCCAAAGGAGAACAGCAAGTGAGCCACAATCAACATTTTGGTAGAGAAAGGCAATATTCTTCCATACAGACCTGTCAGAGGAGGAAGTTCAGGTTTGATTGGCAAAGGCACGGGACAGCCAGATCTAGACGCAGAGAGTCATGGGAGAAACAGCCCAGCCACCACAGTGAGGAAGCAGGAGGGAAGAGAGCTCTGCAGAGACAGCGGGAGCAGGTCAAAAATCACACGTGGGAACCCCAAACAGAAGGTAGGGCGGGCACAGAACCGGGAAAGGGGCGCCTCTCTCCCACCCCCTCCCCTGGGAGGGATGGAGCAGTGTCTGGGATGGCCGGCAGGGTGGCAAACGCTGCACTGCTCCCACAGCTCCATGGAGACCCCGGCACCTCCGACTGTTGCCGGCGGCGGGAGGAAGGGCAGAGGCGGAGAGGAGCGGCCGGGGCTCGGCCCTCCGCCCCCCCCCCGCGCAGCACGGCCGAGTCCCTGCAAGCCCGAGAGGTTTTCCCAAACCCGCCGCAGTCATGGCAGGCGTGTGGGGACTCGCTCCAGCCAGGCAGCCAGCACTGAGGCTGCTTTCCCACGGTCTCCAGCATCGGCTCTGCCCACTCCCCGGTGCCACCCTGCTGAGATCTCCCGCCGGCAGCATCCCCTTCTCCCGCCCGCCCCTTGCAGCCCCTCGCCCCTCCAGAGCCCGCCTGCAGCACATGCTGGTGCACAGCAGCTCACAACAGGCCTTTTTTTGGTCTTTTGAACCATTTGCCACCCTATCTCAAAGTGCATCCGGATCAAACCCTTCCTGAAATGCCCTCCCCACTCCTCCTGTGGCTCTGCCTCCCAAAGCCTCCCTTGGACACCGGCAGCCCTGGTGGCACCACCACCACCACGGAGCCACACGACACAGAGCAGATGTTTTCCAAGTGCTTTGGAAGGCACATGCAGCACGTTCCACCATCTGGCTGCCGCCACCCTCTCATCTGCCTTCATCAGTAACAAATCTATAGATAAAAAATGCCAGCCCCCCGTGGGCTGGGATGCTCTCCGGCCTGTCCACATCCTGGGAAGCACGCAGCTCACTGCCCCGGCTCAGGAGCCCCAGCAAGCTTTTGGAGGCTCCCAGACATGACTCCTGGCTCATGCACGCAGCTTTCCACCCCTCCCACCTTGCAACAGGTACACCCTGAGGCTTTCTCAACAGATCGGCTCCCGAGCCTTGTATGGAAATGCAGGGATGGCTCTGACCCTTCAAGCTCACCTGCCCCGCGGATTCGTGGGATTCTCCAAAGGAGAGGCTTGGTGCTTCCCAAAACAGCGCTGACACAGCTCTCACCCCCGAGTCAAACACTCCCCATCTCTGGTGGGCTCCCCCCTCACTTCCAGCAGGGACACAGATCCTCTGTATTCAGGGGCTCCTGGATGTCCCTGCCACAGAGACCAACTGCCGGGAGGCTGCTGCAGCTCCCCAGGCCCTCTCCCCAAGGAAGTGGAGCAGCTCCTTGCCACATCCCAGTCTTCTCCAGCAGGACAAGGGATGGTCCTACCACCCAGACACCCTACACAACTGCAGCATCCAAAACCCCAGCCAGAAGCCCCACTGGCTTGTTGGGATTCATTTCAGAGAGCAGCGAGCCCTTTATAAGAGAGGAACAACCCCCTATGAAGGAGGGATTCTCCCCAGCGTAGCCTTGCCCAGGCTGCTGTGCTTCCCAGCCTGCCCTCAACTGTCCCAACAGAGAAGAGGCAGATTTTTGGGGTGCAGGAGGACAGAGGCAGCACCCTGACTTCCAGGAGAGACTTTGCTGAGCCACTGCTCTTGTGAACAGGCTCACACTCGTTTGTGAGCAGCAAGCGTGGACCAGTGGGGTCTGGCTGTGTGGGGGAGCACGGAGAGGAGGGACGGGATCCCCAGCAGAGCCCTGTGGCTGCCAGGAAGGGCCCTCACAGCCAGCAAGGCCTCCCCAGCCCCGGGTCCCCACCTCTGCACGTTCCCTGGGAACAGGGCTGGGAAACGTGGACACTAACAATGAAACTCGCAGGGCTGTTCAGGCCCCAGATAAGGGGCCGGAGCAGGCGCGAGGCTGTTTCCTTCCCGTCCCTTCCACAGGGAGTAAACACTGCAGCAGCGGAAGGAACGGGACAGGTCCCGCACCCTCCACCTCTCCTGTCCCCTTGCACAAACACCCCTCCAGCCCTGGCAGGAGGAGGTGTGGGGCCACCAGGTCCCAGCAGAAGGGTTTAGGGAGAGCAGGCAGACGAGGGGCTTTTGGGGGCAGGTCTCCGTCCCATGGGGGCAGCCGAAGCAGGGCTGGCTGTGCTCCCAGGCCAGGTGAGCCCACGGCTGACATGGACCAGCAGATGCTCAGGAGGGGCCACCCGAGGGTCTCCCAGCAGGATCAGGTTGTGTTAAGCAGAGGGGCAACAACTCTTGAGTGTCTGGGGCTGCCCTGCCTACACGGTTGTCACTCCTGCCCTGAGCACTGGGCACAGCTCCACGACGGGCAAGAGGTGCCAGCGGAACAGGGTCTCTCCCAGCTTTCCTCTGCCACCAGGGCATGCCACCTCCCTCATTCCAGCCACTGCCTTCATCGATCTGGGATTAAAGACATAATTACAGAGAGGCAGTGCCAGGCCCAGAGAGGTCAGCGAGCGCTGTCCCCGCAGACACAGCCAGCGCCGTCCCGGCTGGCACACAAACCCCAAACTCAGCCCTACACCCGCCCAGCTGTGAGGGTTCTACCCCACCTCCCTGCCAGTGGCTCACAGGCCAGCATCCAGGGACAGGGGCTCCCTGGGCACAGTACAGCCCCTCGCCACGTCCCGATGCCAGTTTGGGGCACTGGCTGGCCATCTCTGCAGCAGGACAGGGAGGGCAGGAAGGGGAGAGCCTCAGCCAGGCAGCCAGCGAGCTGCTCGTGACAGTGCAAAGCCAAGTACGCCGGAACCCGCAAGGGTGAAATTCCAGGGATCGCTTTGCGCCCGTTCCCCCTCCTCCCTCCCCAGTCTCTGAAGATCCAACTACAGAGCATTCTTCCAGAGCCAGACCCTGACCAGCTCTGAGGACGGCTCATGAAAGCCTTTTCATCATGAGAGAGGCACTTGCTGACACACCCGTTACTTAAAAACCCCAGCAAGCCAAAAATATTTCGGCTGGCTCAGTTTAGGGCAAACCAAAAAGCCTAAAGACAAAGCACACCCTGAGCAGCTCCTGCCCCAGGGGCAGAACTCCCCTCTGTCCTCCCCTCTGCAACAAGGGGACCCCAGGGACCAGTGCAGCGACCCAGAAAGCTTCACATCCAAATCCCCTTGGCCTTATCTCCCAACTTCCTGGCATCAACCCCACACTGTGCTGTGCCCAGACGTCCCAAAGCCAGAGCAGGTCTACTGGAGAGATATCACCCCTGTGGAGCCTTGGAAGCAGAGCCTGCTTGTTGGCCAGGAGACAGCTGCCAGCCCACCTGTGGGCACGAAGCTTCCCTCCTCAGAGGGACCCACCCTGATCTTCCTGGCTGGATTAAAAGCTTGATAATACAGGGACAGGCACCCTAAACCCTGAGCCCTCCAGAGCTCTTCCACTGGGGGCAGCTTTGGCATGGGATATTCTTCTAAAACCCCTTGCCCTGGCTTCTCCAGGGGAACTGCCTCCCCACAGAACAAATGTTTTGCCTGGAAAAATAAGTTTCCAGGGCCAAACCACAGACATACCCACCTAGAGTTCACCTGCACCCTCCTCTGCCAGAGGATGGAGTCCAGGCCTTGAAGGCTCCCCACCAGGAGTGCTTCCCTGGAGTCAGCCACAGAAAGATTAACCCCAGGGCCCAGACTGAGCCAGCAGATGGGGAACTGCACTCCACAAGCCAGGGAAAATGGACAAGATCCGACAGATAGGACTCCGGCAGGAGGCTTGACAGGCAGCACCACTGCAGTGTGTGGGTAATGGATCTCCAGCACACAGCCCTCTGCTTGGGTCCTTCCAACAACCTGCTCCAGCCCTGCTCCATGCCCCAAGTCCCCAGAGAGCTGTCACCCAACGCTCCTGGGATCCCCTGGGGCTTAGGTCACGGCCTCAGCACAGAATACTCTGGGCAAAGTTCAACCCAAGCACCTACAAAGCCAGAATCACCTCTGCCACATCAGGCCTGCCCTGGCTCCCTGCTAAGGGACACACCAGGTGCTCACTCCCATCATCCCACTGCCACCAGGGAGGGGGGACAGAGCTGCATCAGCCCTCCCCTCTGCTTTACTGCTTGTTTTTTGTCCCCCAGGCACCTGTTTGGCACGTGGCAAGGTTTGTCACTGCAGCTGGACACCCCTGGCAGCCTCCCATGCTGTGAGGCACAAGCTCCATCAGAGCCAGGATGGACCCAGCCCCTCGCCCAGGCTGGCTGAGCCCCTGTGGGGGCTGCCAGGCTGACAAGGAGGGATGCACTGCCCAAGGAACTTGCTCCTGCTCCAACACAGTCCCCAATACCAACACAAAAAATGGCAACACCACTCCTGTAATTGGCCTTTCCCTCTCAGTCTGAGGGGCTGAGAAGAGCCAGCTGGCTGCCCGCCCTCCAAAAGCTCTCAACACTAGACCCCGTCCTCAAGAGAGAGAGGAAGCAACAAATTCTCCTGGTTCCAGCTGCCAATCACGATGCACTCAGGAAACACAGAGACTCCATCAATAATTCAAGCCTGCAATTGTCCAAGCGCTTGCAGTGCACTTGCCCTGCACAGGCTCACAGCCCTGCTAATTCACCACAGGCTCCTGGTCAGTCTCAATTACCTAAAAAATAAATGAACCGGCAGCATTGGCATCCTTCCCCGCCCCGAGCGCAGGGTCCAGGCTCAAACATCAGCCCTTGGACCTCAGCCTGCCCGAGGCAGCAGGCCCAGGCTCACCCCACCTCACCCACTTCTGTGTCCAGCTCAGAGCACCCACAGTCCCCAGGGCACGGGGGAACCAGGGCGGCTGATGGTGGGCAGTAGATCCCACATTCCTGCGTGGGTGATGAAGAGTTTTGGCTGTTTCTCTCCCACCCACAGAGGCAGGAAGGTGCCCACAGCCCCCTCTGCGGAGCAGTCTGCCCACGAGGGACCCCTACCCAGGCTGACACGCCCTCACTGCCAGGCTGTGCGAGGCACCTTATTCCCACTGTCCAGCCTGCCCTGGCCCTGCCAGACCCCACTCCAGGGGAGAGGTTCCCCCACCTCCTGCCCTGGGCTCCAGCTGCCTCCCTGGCCCCTTGGAGGGCCCTTCCTGTTGTCAGGTCACAGAACACAGGCAGTGGACTTTGGGCAGGCTGGCAGGTGGCCAGCGGCCCTCCCTGGGCAGGAGAGAGCTGCTCCGGCAGCGGGGCAGCGGGTAGGACACCGCCTTGGGCACCTGCCTGCCCTGGAGCAGCCCCACCTTCCTCGGGAGGAGCTGTGCCCCCGGTGCCCGGCCCAGCGGGGGAACACCCAGGAGCGGCCACCGTGGGCAGGGAACGGGCAGGGAGCCGTTCTCCTCCGCCCATCACACCCAACTGGTTGGACTGGCAGCGGGATCGCCACCCGGCCTACCTCACCTGCCACCCCCAGCGCCAGGGACGAAGGCCACGTAGCTGGGATGGGTTGGGAAAGCCTCCCTCCGGAGGGGGGAGTCACCTGGAGATGCAAGCCAGGACGCAGATCGCACCTTATAAGGGAGCAGGCCGGGAGCCAGGGAGCAGGATGAGGAGGGAGCGATAAGGGCAGGGTGGGGCCAGAGGGAGGAAGCAGGAGCACGGGGTCGCTCCCCTGGCAGGGCAGGGGACCAGGATCGCAGATACCGATCGGGGCCACAGGACAGGCCTGGACACAGCCGGCAGTTGTGAAACACGGTGGGCAATCCCCCGGGGAAGGGATCCGTCCCTAGCTGGGCTGAGGTCACCAGGCCTGTGCTGTTGGCCATCCCAGCAGGACAAAGAGCGAGAGGCACAGGATGAGCCACGGAGAGCTGTGATTGTTCTGCTGGTATTCCAGCAATCCTGTGGCGGGGCAGCTGTCCTCCCAGGCACGCCAGGGGCCACTCGCCCCTCTCCAAGGAGCTCTTTCCCTCCTCGTGGGCCTGGGGCAAGAGCTCCAGGCAAGCCGAGAGCTGCTGACTCCCAGCACCGGCTGGACGGAGCAGCCTGCGCCCCGGCAAGGGGAAGGGAGATGAGCTTCCCTCGGCACTTTTGGGGAGGAGAGGACTGCAGGAGGGCAGCCAAACCGCCGGGCTCCAGGCAGAGACTCTGTCCAGCCGCAGCCACAGGGCTGGAGCCTTCCTGCCAGCAACATCCCACTGCAACCCACTGCCCGCGGATGCCCCGGCAGCCCCGCTCCCCTGGGTCCCCCACCCTGGGGACGGCAGCAGGCAGGGTCCCCGCCACCCCTGTGCACCAGCCCCACGGCTCACACCCCGGGGCCCAGGAGATTCACATGTCGGGAGCCCTGCAGCAGCACAAAGGCGGCTCTCTCCTCGCTGTGGGAATTCGCAGCTGAGCGCTCGGCAGGGACAAAGGGATTTCACAGGCACATCCCCAGCCGGCGGCCGGCCTCCCTCCCCCGGCGTCCCTGCTTCCTGTCACAGTAGCACCAGACCTCGGGGGCGCAGCAGCAAACAAACACCCAGCGCCGGATTCTGGGAATGGGGCCAGAGCATTCCCGGGGCAGGCCACGCTCCGGCAGCCAGCGGGCTCCTGCTTCACCCCAGCGGCTCCTGGGCCACGGCGGGGGGGAGGCAGCAGCCCCCCGGCTCTGCTGTCCCAGCCCAAGGGGCAGCAGGTGAACCAGCGGGATCACAGGGCAGCCCCTGGCTCCTTGCTGCACCCAAGGAACAGCAGCCACCTCGATGGGGGACACGAGCTGTCCCTACAGCCAGGACCCCGGCGTTGGGCTGAAGGTCAACGTGCCCCCCTCCCACCCCCCCGGCTCCAGCCACACCAATGTCCCTGCCCTTCACCCGTTCCCCCACCCTCTGCCAGGCTCAGCTTTCCCATTCAGCTGCCTCTCTCCCGAAGGGAAAACAAACACAGCCCAGTGCTACAGAGATAAGGGCTGTGCTGGCAGAGTCCAGGGAGCAAAGTCCCTCTCAGTGAGACCTGAGGCTGCAGCGCCGCAGGAGCTGCCTCCCCGAGCCAAGGGCATGGCAGACGAGAGAAACTGCTCCGGCTCCCCATCCCAGGAGCACATGAGCTCCTCCAAGGCTCACATGTGCCGCTGGCTGTCCCCAAGCAGAGAGGCCGCAGCCCGGTGGCCAGCATTCCCAGCAGGATTAGGGGAAGCCTCCCTCCACCAGGCCATGGGCACAAGCACCCACTGCTAGCTGTGCCAGCCCAGCACCCAAACACACGGATTTGAGCCCCCTTCCATGGCAGAGCCCTCTTCCCAAGGAAGCCACTTGAGATCATTTCCTGTGCCGACACCTGCAGCACCAGGGCCCAGCCCCGGCTCTGGTTACCCTGCTCCAAGCCGTGGACAAAGGAACAGGGCCTGAAGGCACAGGGGGAATCTCAAGGCCAGCAGCTCGGGACCTGCATCACTGGGCTTGGCACTTCCCTGTAGGAGCAAGTCACCAAGGACCCGCAACCAGGAATGGGGAGAAGGGCTGGAGCACAGGGCCCCCCACCCATCCCAGGAACCTCATGTGGGGTCTCCCCGCCCAAGAGGGACCCTGAGGCAGACAGGGCGCCCTTCCCTCTGCCACACCAGCCACGCTGCTCTCCCCTCCCCACGCTGAGCAAACAGGAGAAGGAGCATTTGGGGAGGGAGTGGCCAGGAGGGAATTGCCGAGATTAAGCCAAGCCAGCCCAAGGGAGCGGCACAGGAGGAGTGGGACCCCCTGGCCTCACCTCGGCCCAGCCAGCCCAGACTCCCCGAGCAGGTAGGGTGGCCACGGGCTGAGTCACAGCACAAACCACGCGGGGCTGGGCTGAACACCCTGGCTCTGCTCAGCATGACCTCATCAGGTGCCCGGCGCTCTTAATTGCAAGCGTGGAGATGGCTCCGAGGGCCCTGCCAAGAGCAGTAATGAATGGGTGAAGGAAAGCCACTGGAGAATCATCAGACAAGAGCCAGGGACTGAATCAGGGCTGGAGGTGGGGAAGGGGGCTGAGGCAGGATGACAGCAAGTCCCCTGGAGCTCTCCAAGGCCCTTCAGTGCCCACAGCCATGCAGGAGCCAGTGCCCACACGACACTGGCCAAGCAACGTTCAGAGGGACAGCAGGACTCCATCCTACCCCAGCCCCCTTCCCAATTGTTTGCTCCTCCAATCCTCTCCCTGAGAAGCAGCTTCCCAGACTCCTGTGCGAGCCGAAGGGAAGGAAACCTGCGCTTCCTGGTCAGACGGAAGATGACATCGTGGCTTCCCTTTCCTGTAAGCTTCTAAACACGACGTCCTGCCAAGAGCCACTCCCCACCGCCCCTGGACTGCGAGCTGGAACCAGGCTGGGAATGCTGGGCACGGGCACCAACACCAGCCTCAGCCAGCTGTGCCAGCCAGGAGACCAGATGCCTTGTCAGCTTGCTGCAAGTGTCCTGCCTCTGGGGAACACATCCGAGGGTTCCTCGTCCACAGTGGTATCACATTCCTGGCCAGGGCTGGGAGCATCCTACTAGCAGAGGGTGGAAGGTGCTGTTTTCCAACCCCCTGAGGACCTGGCTGCGCCCCAGAGATGGGCTGGTTACCTGCAAAGCTGCGGCAGCACCAACACCACAACCCCAGCACAACATCTGCCCCCTCAGACAGCCCTCCAGCCCCCCTCACACACCTCACCTTGTCCACACAAGTCCACCGCACCCCCTGACACTCTGGGGGGTTGCCAGGGCTCCCAGAGGCAGGACAGGGCGTCCCTGGGATGCCACAAGCTCCCTCACAGCTCTTGCTGATGCCAGAGCTTGGATCCCCAGGCCCATCCGCCGGCCCTGCCCCAGGCAGCTCCTCTTGCTGCTGAGGGAGGGAGGACGGAGAAGGGAAATGAGTGGTTTTCCACCCAAGCCAGTTGCTGGAGACAGACCCTGGGCAGAGATCAGGGGAGAGCAGGTGTCTCCCTTTGCCACACCAGTGTGCTCTGGAGGGAAGGTCCCTCCTGCAGGTAAAAGCAAAGTAAAAAAGAGAAAAGAGAGAGGAAGGAGGGTACAAAGCCAGCCTGGAGCAGGCGGGCTCCCCACATCAGAGAGGATTTCTCCCAGAAACACCCCTGGGCTCTCCACCTCCTCCTGCTCAGACCCCAGTTAGCAGGAGGGGGACATCCCTCCCCCAGGAGCGAGCCGGCCTGCCTGCAGCCGAGCCAAGCATGGCAAGCAGCAGCCCTGCGTGCAGCAACACGCTCGCAGGAATGCGTTACTCCACTGGGCAAGGGGCCTGCCAGCAGCATGCAAACACCCCCGGTGACCCACCCTTCCAGGTCAGAAAAACTCGTCTTTGCAGTTCCACACACTCCCTCCCACCCACGGCAGCTACCCACACGGGGCCCAGCAGCACCACCTCCCCTTTCCGACCCGGCCAGGACCGGAGCCGGGAACACCGGGAAGCAGCTGGGAGAGCTGGGGGCTCTTCTCGGAAAAGACCCACCCCAGCGCCACGTGAGACGGGGGCGAGAGGAAAACACATGGGCTGGGGACAGCGAGACGCCTTCCTCCTCCTGGACAGGGTGGGAACCAGTTCCCCACAGTCATCCACACTGAGGTCAATCCAACTTGCCTCAGGTAACCGTTCTCCTGCCCAGGAGGTGCTTCTGCAGTGGCAAAAGCCGTGTGGGACGAAGGGAGAAGGGAGAGCTGCCCTCCTGCTGCCCACTTCCCCGTGCTCCGGTGGCTTTTCTCCTCTGCCCGGTGCCCACGGCCCAGCCCTCAGGGACACAGCAGAGGCAGGTACAGCTCAGGTGTGCCCAGGAGGGCCGGTGAACTTTGAGCAACGTTCGCTGTGACCGGGGCCAACGCCCAGAGGAGCGGGAGCAGCCGGGGCCGGGATGGCGGCACAGGAACAGCTCCTGCCCTCACACGCACGAGCCCAGCGCAGAGCTGCCACCAACACCAGCACACCCAGGCCCACTTCACACCAGCCCTGGAGCTGTGGATGTTTCCAGAGCACCACCACCCTGGCCAGGCTGTTCCCAGGGCTTGGCACCTACTCCAATTTGTCCAGACCCTTCCCTGCCTGTGCTGGAAAGACAGTCACTCCTGGCCTGGACAAGCACCCCACCAAGACTGCTCCTCTCCCAGGATACCTGCACATCCACGGACTGCCCACCTCAGAGCCACCTCTCCAAAGGCCAGGCCGCAGTGCCACAGCAGAAAACCCCCTGGGCCATCAGCACAAACATCTGGGCGCAGAAACACTCAAACCAAATATGGGGTGAAGGGCTCAGCCTGGCTCAGCGTGGCTCATGCCCCCAGGCCCACACTGGCACAGGCATTTTCACAGTGGGTCAGAGCTCTGCAGTGCAAAGTCACCGTGGACCCGCAGCACAAGGTTAGGGACACGGGGACGAGCTCCTGGGAACCCACCACTCTGCAGGAGCCAGCGTGGAGGCTGCCTGCAGGGCAGCACAGACCAGTCCTCCCCACCTCAGTCCAAGGTCCGTACACGCCAGGCGTCCCTCTGCCAACCTCCGAGCAGCAGCTGCTCTGGGCTGGGAAAAGCAGATGAAAGCAGAGGTGCCAGGCACCCTGGTTAAGGGTTGGCCCATCCTGGCACCACGCCTGGCAGCTTGTGTTCCTTAGTCACTGGTTTGCCCCCACACCCAGCGGCCACCTCATCTCGCCCCTCCTCATACGGGCTACCACGAGGAAGCAATATTCCTCACGGGGAAAAGTTGCTTCCTCCACAGGGAAAGGGGGACAGGAGGATCACACGGCACCCGCTGCCACCCCAAAGCCCCCCATGGGGGCTGGGAACACGACAGAGCACACTAATCCACACGTAACACCCCACACGCAGCAGTCACCGGACAGGGCAGAGGGACAGGCCTGTGCCAAACCAGCAGCCTTCCTGGTGGGAAGGAAGGCGGATTAGCAACAAGCACAAGACAGGCAGGAGCCAACGGACTCATCAGCCTGCTGCTGGGGGTTTCCAGCACCAGAACTGGCTCTAAGAAACCATTTCCTCCCCCAGACAGCCTCCTCGGATGATAAAAAGCAAAAGAGAGGATTGTGGCCACCTCGGAGAACTTGAAGACTTTGGTCGAGAGCCCGTAAATCCAACCCCTTTCCGACAGCCTCACGCTGAGGCACATTCCTGCACTCAGTGCCAGAGGACAACCTCCTCCGCTGGCCAAGCCCTGTGTCACACACGGAGGAGTGCCTGAATCACCCAGGTTTGGGTTTTGTCATCACATCCAGGCAACACCTGTTGTCTTTTATTGACCCAAACCAGCTCCAGGTTCCGCTTCCCCGCTGTCAGTGAGGCGGGGATGGTGGGACAGCCACCACGCTGCAGAGACACGGGATTTCAGAACCAGGAGGGCTCTGCACTTCCCTGGAGACGGCATCACCACAGTCTTGGGAAAGGGCTCTGTCCTTGCCAGCAGTAAATGAGAGACAGTTATGAGGGGTTGTTGGGAAGAGAAACCAAGAGCTTTACCCAGCACTCTTCCCTAAGGCCACAGACTGGTGAGCTATTTCGAGAAGCCAACAGCCCTCCAGGCACGATCCAAGCCACACTATTATTTTCTGGGTGTCCTAAAGCCACCTCCAGTGCAGATACAATGGGCCAAGGCCTTATCTCCATGCCAGAGGCTGGAAGAGGGAAGAGATGAGAGGCAGTCCAGGGACAGACACCGGGCTCCGTGGTCTGGGCTGGACCATTCATTTGACTCCCAGCCCATCTTTAGGGAAGGGATGGCCTCAAGGGCTCCTCAACCACAAAGATCAGGCACTGACCTCCACGTCGGAAGGGAGGAGGCTCACCCCTCTGCGGCAGCCCAGGCAAGCCCAGCACGCTCCACTAAGCGAGCACTTTCATCCTCCCACCCCTTCCAGGAAGGCTCCGTGCAGGATTCCAGCGCTGCTGCACACGGACGCTCAGAGTTTGCACACACAGAGTGTGGCCAAGCTCGGCCAAGGGGACAGAGAACAGCTTCTTAAGAACTGCCTTTCTGCTGTTCACAGAGCGTGGGCAAACACCCCACAGGTAAGGAACCCGTCTCAAGAAAGCCCTGGGAGCAGGATGGAGCAGCAAGGTAATGCTGGGGAAGGAAGACTAACGATTCCCCTGCCTGGGCTCTTCCCATCACATGGCTTCCCACAGACCTGGCGGACACTGCCCCACACATCTGGCAGGAGCCCCAGCCCTGCAGACCTGCCAGCACGGGAGCTGCGGGAATCAGAGGCAGGGGCCTGGGAGTCTCCAGCCAGCCACTGATCCCACCTCGCCACATCCCAGAGAGAAGGCACGGACAAGGAAGCTCCAAATGCACTCTGTGAGCACAGCCTGGAGGTGCTGAGCTTTCCATGCTTCCTGCAAAGCCGAGGACAAGCCTGTTCTCAAGTCCATGCCGAGACCTGAGCAGCCAAGGCCGAAAGCATCCGCGCAGCACAGGGGGTGCATCAGTGAAACCACGGGCAGCTGTAGTTCCATGCCACCACAAGGCTCCGTGCACCCAGACGCTCCTCTCCGGCTCACTGGGACCGGGGCAAGGCTGGGTGCCACAGCCCTGGGACAGGAGCCTCCAGCCCTAACGCGGGCTCCCCACTGGGGACAGGACAGCCCCGGCCTCCCAGATAACACCCCGCGAGCTTCACCGTCACCGGCTCCCTGGAAAGGCATGGGCACTGAGCCCTTGGCGAGGGAGGCTCTCCGGGAGGTCCACCCCTCTCTCCAACAATCAGAGGAAGCTTTGTTGTCCAGGCTCCCTCACCCAGAGCCCAGGGGCATAACGGAGGTGCCCCACTTCCCTTCTGCCAGCCCGCGGGTGCCTCGCAGATGCCAGCAGTCCTCATGACTGAGAGCCACCCAAACTTTCTCACCCCAAGCTAAGTCTCCTCTCTGCGACGCTCCGAGGAGGCTCAAGAGTGCCCACGGTGCGGGGCAAAGTAATGCTGGAGAAGGTCACCGACTCCTGGCACGACGGGCGCTGGGCAGGGGGGGAGGCAGCCGGGCTGTCCCTAAATGACAGCGTGGCCAATAGGGGGGCTCGGAACGAGCCGGCGGCTGAGCAGACCCCCGGGGCCGGCCAAGGCACCGTCCCGCCTCCCCTGGAAGCGTTTCGGTGTCGCTTGCGAGCCGCGGCGGACGGGTCTGCCGGGCTGTTTTCGAGCTCAGAGCGATTCCACGAGGAGGAGCCGCAGCCCCACCCGCACACACTTGACACCCCCCTCGGGCACACCGGCCCCTTCCCCGCCAGAACAAAGGCGCGGCAAGCGACACACCGGGCGATCGGCCCGCGCTCCGACAGGCAGGGGCCAACCGGGCGGCGGGCACGGGGCTGCCCCGGAGAGCCGGGCGAGTCCCCTCGGAGGGGCCGGGCCGCGGCCGCCGCCCGAGGGGAGGGGGGCCCGGCGGTGCCGGCCGCGGGAAGCTGGCACACGGGCCGCCTTTGTTCCGGGCAGGGCGAGCGGCGGCGGCCCCGGGCGGGGAGCGGGGCGGCCGCCCGGCCCAGCCGCCTTTGT